GTGTGTGTGTGTGTGTGTGTGTGTGTGTGTGTGTGTGTGTGTGTGTGTGTGTGTGTGTGTGTGTATTGAGTATAAAATAATTCTTGAACGAGTGCTTCTTCAACATGGGAAAGACGAACAACCATTTGCAGTATCAAGGTAGGTCGATAGCTTGTACATCCCGAGATTCTTTATTGACTCTTCAAGTTCGATGGAATTTGTAGAATCAATGCAGAATCAGAATTTCGACTTGGATAAACGTTCTCAGTAAGTCCTTCCTTAAATTATTACATGAAGAAAATGGCAATAAGTTACGCAAAAAGTTTTCTGCCGCAACTAATCAAGGTTTTATAAAAACATGTTTGTTGCTATAATTAAAACTTGTATCACTGCTGTTGTTACATTGGCTTCATAGCTAAATATATGTCTAGCTGTACTTTTTTGGATATCTATATACAATATGTTACAATATCTAGCTACTCACATATAAACTCTTATTGCTGCTAACTTCTCCTTACGAGCGGCGGATTTTTTCACCAAAAAACGGCCGAATCGCTTTTTCCGCGGTGGTCACGTAACTGAGCGCCGCTTTAATTCCTTTATTATGCGAATGAGTCTGATATCTTAATATTCACGAGGGGTGCCCGCGTGTCAGGTACACACGAGGGTCTAATGGTCGACTCAATTAAGACGCTATTAGACCGGCAACATTTACATGTTAACGACAATAGCGGTCATGATACATTCCTGCGAAATAATGCCGGTCGTGTGTGTAGGCAATGCTTACGATCCGGAAATGCAACTGTTTGGTCGGTATTAATTTCTATTGATAGTGTTGTAACTCCTTCAAAGAGAACTAGAGAAACAAAGAGAGAGAGAAATGATGATGTCAGCTATTACTTCGAGAAATTAATTAATTGAACGCATTCATGGGTAACACGAAGCTAAAAGTTAATATCGACAGTTAAACGATTACAATGATTATAAATTAATAGGAAAGGGCAGATTAGCTAATAAGTATTCTAACCGCAATTATTATTGCATTATTAATGAAAATTTTGTTAATATTAATATTCATAATATAACAACGAGCTAATTTACATTTAACGCCAAACATTTCGATCATAAATGTAAGGTGATTTCCCAGCCCTGAATTCGGAACACTTCATAAATATGTGAAATAGGGAGAGGGCAATAAAAAGATCCGAAAATTATTTGACAATCAACGAAAATGATGACAAATAGGTGTCCCGAATAGCACTCAAAAAAATTCGAGACAAAGAGTGAAAAGTCGATTATCTCCCTTTAGAGTCAACAAAAGGGACTGTCTCGAAAAAATCGAAACATTTGGTCACCTTAGCTATATGTGTCGAGAAGGGAGGAGATTACTCCGTAATAATATACTTACGATATGACCGCACGTCGTTGTTTTCGACACTCTAATTCCGCAGGAGATTCACAGGACACAAGCGAAAGACGTGTGAAATATGGACAGTTGCTCGGCATGAAAAGATCGCAGACGCGCGCGCTGTCAATCACGTACACCAAAAGTTCATTAGCACGCCGAAAGTGCCAAAAGTGCATGAATGTGAACGCGCCAGTGATGCGAAGGAGGTCGCGCGTCTACAACGACGCGATCTGTACGGCGCCCCGCGGCGGACGCCTTAATCACTTACTCGAGTTACGAGACCAATCACGTTTGTTTCGCACTACAAGGTTGTCATCGTGGTTATTCAATCTAGGCGTTGGTAATGAATCGCGCGAAATGCTCGATCTTTTCGCGCCAAGTAGCAGCCATGGGTACACTTCGATCCACATCGCTCCGCGTTTCTCGCGTCTTTTATCCGTCGAAAGTGAGTCTCGCGCGTTAATAAGTCTCGGGAGTGTCGAGAATAGCGATGTGCGATCACCGGGGCGTATCGTGAAGATGTCATTTGTAAGTAATCTTCTCGTTTCTCCTCGCGATATATGCGGCCGGTGTTTGTCGCGACGTGTCGTGCCGATGTTCCTTACATTTGCTAAAAACATCGACTCGTTTAAGTAGTAATAGAATCGGGCGATCGTCGGATTTATTGAATGGGAATTAGAAATGCGATGACAATCAGAGAG